GCGTCCGTGCACGCCGCGCCGCCCGCCAGCCCCCCGCCACCTCCCACCGCCCCCTCGCCCTCCGTGATGTCCGGCGCCAATGGCTCGGGCACCGATCCGGAGCCGCGCCGTGCGCCCAGCTCGCTCTCCCCTGACTGTTGTGCGGCATCATCCTTGTCATCCCCCCCCTTGCGTCCGCCCAGCCTGTCCAGCCGGCCCTCCAGGTCCACCACCTGCTTCTTGAGCGCCTCGATGTAGGTCAGCACCTGCTCCAGGAAGGCCGCCGTGTTGGCGCGCTCCGCGTGAGGCACCACCTTCCGCAGGCGGTCCAGTCTGCATGCGGCACGGTCACGTACACAGGGCGATCGGGGACGTCAGACGGCGGCAAATGCGTCCAAGATGTGCCCCTTGGCGCGGGACCCCAAGCGCCAGCTGCCGGGGCGATGAGCAGCAACCCGCAGTCAATGCGGCATTCGCTCGCGACTCTCCATTGGCGGCGACGGGCGGATCGGCGCGCTCGGCGCCGCGTGACGCCGCGGCGCCGCCCGCAAATGCAAAACGGCATCCTTGCCGGGGGCGCCGGGGCGCGCTCCGGCTCGGGGGAGCGCCCAGAGCGCCAATCATTCCGTTCGCTTCGGACCCACCTTTCATTGATCCGCGTGCGGCGCCGCTGCTCCGCCGCCTGGTGCCTGGACGCGTAGTCCGAAGTGCCCCGGCCGTCCGCCGGCCGCGCCGCTCCCGCCCTCCCCACGGGCGCTCCCTCATCGCCGCCGCCGCCACCCGGCCCCGGTGGCGCCTGCAGCGCCTGCAGCGGCTGCAGCAGCGCCATGTGGGGCAGGATCTGGTCGAACTGGCTGAACACCGCCACCTCAGGGTACATCACGCTGGGCGCGGCGGCCAGGCCCGAAGCCCCGGGGCCCGGCGGCGCCGAGCCGCCCCCGCCGGGGAACCCGGACGCGTCCGGCACGCTCGCGCCGGGCTGGCGATTGTCCGCGGGCCCCGCCTCCCCGCCGCCTACGAACAGCGGGCGGAAGACGTGGCCGGGCTGCATGGCGCCGCCGGCGGCGCGCCGCCGATCCCCCGAGGTGATGCGCGCCCTGGGGGGGTGAGAGTGGGACGGCCGCGCGGGCCGTGACGGCGGCCTGCGGCTGAACGCTGGAGAGGGGCGGGCGCGCGGGAGCGAGGGTGGTGCCGCGCCGACGGCGTGGAGCGCGAATTGGGTTCATTCCAAAAACCGCCCAGGGGGATATGTTCTGCACGGCCCCAGATATTCGGTGGCGTGGGCTGGTTTGTCATTGGCAATGGCCTGGCTCGTGTTTTCCTCATATCGTTGGATTTCTTTTTGTTTTCTTTTTGCTTGGTTGGGACCGGATTTCGCTTTCAACGAAGTCCGGCATTCATGGCCGCGTCGCCACCACTGATGCGCGCGTCAGTCTTTGGGGACGGAAGGGTTGCTTGTTGCCAAACGGCGAGGATTGTCCGATACCTGCCGTGCCCTTCAGTCAAACGGTTAGGTACCGGATTTAAGACCATTCTGCACCGGCGCAACTGTTGTATGGCACAAAATACGGATACAGCGCCGTCCGGTGCACCATTCAGTGGTATTCGGCACAGTTTAAATGGTCCCCATTTGATGCATTGGGCAGACAGCATGCCATCGGTACATGACGTGGACCACATCCGGTGACAGCTGGCAGCGGGGCACGCCAAACTCAAACCTCTGGGACGTCGGCGCCCTCTTTGGCGCCAACTCTTGCGAGGCACCGCTCCGGTTTCGGCGGGATTATGCTCCGTCAGCGGCGACGTCTGCTCCCAGCCGTGGCGCGCCTGTCTAGCCTTTCGCTTTTCTCGCTGTGCTCCATGCGCCTGTGCCGCACATCCTGCACCGCAGCGAATCGCCCAAGAGCAGCGGGGCCTTACCCATGAACGCGGGGGACAGGGCGCCAAAAGCGTGTGACAAGGACGAGAAAAAGAGCGGATGTGATGTTTGCGGGCGCTGCAAGAGCTGTCAGTCTCGGGAGGGAATGGAAAACCGAGTAGCGGCAGCTCGGATTGCGGCCACGATTTCGGATGCACGGTTTTGGGACCGGGCGGGGAACCTCGTTGCCGAGAGCCTGCGGGAGCAGGACGCGCTGCTCGACGCATTTCGAAATGATCTTAAGTGGCTACACGTCGATGGGAAAGGGGAACTTGAATCTTTCACCCAGGGCGCTCCGGAGGAGCACGAGCGCGCGGGAGATGGTGCGGGGCGGATCACGAGTGTGATGAGTGTGCGGGCGTGGGATTGGACGGCATTGCCATCACTGCAGGGGGGATCCAAGGTGTTCGGAGGGGCCGCTCCGCAGGGTGCCAGCCCCGAATCGCGGCTTCCAGGGGCCACAGCGGGCGTGGAGGGGTGCCTCCCAACTGCGGCTGCGGAAAGGGGATGCAAGACCGAAGGGTGCGTGCGGAGTGATCAGGCCGCCGTCAGCGCCGGGGAAGCTTCAGTGACAACTCGGGCTGTAGGGTTTCATTGGCCTTCACGCCTTTCCAAGGCGTAGAATCGCCAAAGGTCCTCACATTTACATAGATGCTGTTCAAGTGCAGCAAGGAAACAATTCAAATGGAAGTGTTCAAGCAGTTGAACGGTTGTGTTGACAGATCCAGCACATCCAATGGCCTGCTGGCCATGTACCTCCGGCGTGAGCGTCTGCAGATTGAAAAGAGTTTGCAAATGGGGCTATGGCAAGGGGGAGATTCTGTCAAAGCAATGGAAGGCATAGGTGCGTTACCACAGAAACTTCCAATAGAAGAGGAGGTCTCTCCTTCTGTCAAGGCTACACATTGCGCTTGTGAAGGTGCCACTATATGTCAGCTGCTGGTGGCAGCATGTGTGTCGTGCACCCAACAGCCCTGGTTTGTGCCAATATCCAGCTCCTCTTTCAAATCGCACAAGGGTGCAAGTTTCACATCAGCTGCCATTGGATTTGCTTGCAGTCAGTCAATCTTTGCCGTTCACAAGCAAATTTGGCCACTGCAGATCATCTTCGATCGAGAGGAAGCAAGTGTTCCTTGGCATTCCAACTTCGTGTGGATATGCTAGATATGCTCCTCGCCGCACAAAAATGGGGTGCCGGCGATGAGCAGCTATGGGACAACATGAAAGACTTCAATCAGAAGTGCACAAACCTGAAGGTATTGTTGGATAGATGTCTTGATGTATTTGTATTGTTTCCAATGGTGGTCAACCAGTGGTCAATTGGAGATTTCAGAGTGACAGCACGAATTCCGGTGCTCTGTCTGAGCAGATGAACTTGCCGCGGCTTGCCCAAGCTTCACTTGGGAAAATATAACTTGTTTGAACCCATCGTGTTTGCCACAGAATGGGAATGGAACAGTCTTGCACCTATTGTTCCTTGCTGCCTCCATCAACTGCAAGCTGTGTTTGGTGTAGCCTGACACAGTGACATCGATGGACACATTGGCATCAGCTCACTGCCTCCGTGGCCTCATTTTTTCCAACCTGGCGCTGCGCTCCTTCAAGGTGTGCTGTTGCAGATCTTCTTCTGTGACAATGGCTGACAGCCTGTTTGCTATATCAGTGATCACAAGCCCATATGTCCCAACAGCAGCTGAAAGTGATGCAAGTGGAATAACACCAGATATCACATAACATAGTCCCGGGTACTTGGCCATTTTTCAGCCTTGTATTCATGTTTCACCATTCAGGTCACCATGAATGCGGGGACATCAGGCCACATTGTTTTGGTGTGAGCTGGAAATCTGTATTTTTGCTGTATGCTTTTAGCTTCTGCAGCATGCCTTTGACTTGAAGTTGGTAATGGTGGGTGGATTCAAGTACCAGAATTACCCAGTGGCGCTAATCAATCCCCACTCAGGGGGTTCAAACTACAGTGCTATCCGTGACCCAGAATTGCGTATCCACCTTGAAATACCAGCAATGAGGAGCCACCATGATGAGCACATGATGGCTGGCTGGCTGGTGGTTGCTGGCAAGTCTCAGAGTTCTTAGCCTGCTGTAATCGGTTGGTGTGGGGGGTGGAAGGAGGCTGTTTGGTTGTAGAGCTGCTGCAAGCAGGTTGCTTGAGAAGCAGGCAGGAGCATTGCTGATGGGCACATGGAGCATATATACAGACAGCACACAGCATCGCACAAGAAAGAGGAGCCAATTTCGTGACACAGGGAGGGGAAGTGGAACGTGGAACCCCCCGATGGGCCCTTGGTTTAGCTGGTTGAGTGGGGTGTGAATCGTGAGGCGAAGAGCAGTAGCTGCATTTGAAGATGATAATTTGTAATGGCATTTGCCGCCCTGTTTCCATGGTTGTGAGACCAGTGTTTGTTCCCCATGCAATGCATTTTTCGCCATTACTACCCTGCTACACCATACCCACACTTGAATACAAAGCTTCTCCGCGCACTCTTTAGATCAGGGCCCAAGCAGCAGAGGCATTCATTAATCCTGGTTAGTGTACATCGCCTCGTTTTGCTTCCTTTGGGTGTTCCTGTCTATGAATATTAATACCAGGCAAATACGGTGTGTTTCTGTGCTCTGGCAGCCACCTTTGGCATTTTTCCACCCCATTTGCGTTCATGTATACAACATATGGTTTGGTCATTCGCAGCCTGTTTCTCAAAAACCTTGTTTGCTTGATTTTTGCAATCTGTTTCTCTGGTGGCTACAGCCCTTGTTTAGTTTTGTTTCTCAGGCTGCATAGAACTGGGCAGGGAGAGGAAATGCACCTATATACCAAAATGGTCCTTTTTCGCAGAGCGGGCTGTGCTCCTCAAAAATGTGCTGTAAACATACAAAGAGGAGCTGCAAATGCACAGGAAAATGGGCTGGAATATCCCCCAAAGTGTGCTGCAAACAAACAGGACGCGTGGATGTGAATTGCTCATGGTCGATCGATTGCTGAAGCACCTGATACTGACCTCATGCTGGCCGTGGAGAAATTCTCAGAGATATGAAACTGGGGATCAGATGTGGGACGAGGCAACATCGGCAACAGACCTTGCTTTCATGTATTGGGAAAATATGGTGGGAAAGGCAGGAGAGAATGTCCAAGATCTGCCAGCACATTGTTACGACATTTCATGGAGTTTGGAGTTGATATGGCAGTCTTCCTCAGTGATGGCTATACGAGGTAATGCCATTGCTTTTTACCATGGATTGTTTCAATAGGTTTCACTCTCGTATTGTTGAACGCACCAGTGAAGATTCCCCACACAGCCAACGTAAGCGTTCAACACGAACGTAGAGTTTCAATGAGCAATATCAGGAGTCGCCCAGATCCATCCAAACTCCATGAGAGAATGAACTGCTGGAGATCGCCTCCTGAACATTGTGTGGCCTATACGGTTTGTCTCTGCAGGTCTGGTGGAGCTGGAGGAAAGGGGACATTCCCTTTTGTGTGCTCTTGGAAAAGTGACCATCGTTCCCCGGTATCTGGGAATGGAAATCTGTTGGACAATGTGTGGATTCGGACCGAGCGATGTTCGCAGCACGAAAGGCCTGCACTCCCTGGCCGACGCCATGTGTACAGGGCCGTCAATGTGTCCATGCGGCGCCGGAAACCATTGCCTGAGGGGAACCTTGATGCAATTAAGGTGGAGGAAACAGACACAACATGCCACAAGGAACGTCCCACGCCGGGTACCGGCCTGGCATGGCATGCTGTGCAATTCAGGAACACAACTTCCATCCCGAATTTCCGTCCAGAAATGAGCACTATCTCCGCGTAAATCCCGAAATTTCCCTGCATTGTCCTGGTCAGATAATGCGCATCCATCAAATTCATTCAATTGAAATTTCAACTTGAATTTCAATTGCTCGAAAATCTTATGCATATCTTGGAGAACAGCTGGCCGCAAACCCGGCCCTGCGCACTGAGTCACAATTGGGTGCCAATGCCAAATCGATCCAGCACATGTGTTAAGGATTCAGCTGATTTTGATTTTGCTTGACATGCAAAGCATGTGTCAAGAAGAATCAAGAGGCCTATTCATGAAATACCACAAGGAATTAATTCACGTTGCAGACGTCGCTAAATACTACAGCATTATCAGCTGAAACATGCAAATGTCGGGGTACCATGTTTGCCAGCGGCGGTTCCATTGATTGTGTTTGCCTGATAAGCATATCCCCTGCGCCAAAAAGGGCGATAACGGGCATGTTCGCTGGCCTTTGTCGACTGTTGAGCACTCATTCCTGGGACTGAAGTTGGTCCTACAGCACCTCGTAAGCTAGCGCTTTTCAGCACCTGAATAGTAACAAGGGGGCGCCACGTGAATCAAGACGAAAGATATCCCCCGCTATGTTCCATGGATCACGTTTGTCGACAGCATAGGACAGGACAAACCTCTGGCACCATACGGGAGGTGGTTTGTGAGCCATTCAAGCGTGAATCTGCACACCGTTAGCCTACACCACGACTGGACGGCGGAGAATCCTGCAAATGTGGCTTATTGTAAATCCTCTAATCTGACCCCCCGGTCTGACCTGGTTTGAATCCCTTGGTCTCCAAGAGGTGCATGTGCATGAAAACAGAGGCACGGCCATGCCACCGAATCTGATGGGACGTGCGGTCACTGCAGCCGCAGATTGCGCCAATATTTCCGGACCCCGGAGCCGCCAGAGCATTCATGACGGACTGCATGAAAGGGCACCTAATGCCCTTACATGCGCAGCATAATGCGGAGCTCGCCCCACATGGCGTGGAACACTGCATGCTCGACCCGCATCCAAAAGGAAATCGAGCGCCATATATGTACGGGTTTAGTTTTCTCCTAAGGGGTTGCATCCACACTGAGGTTTTAACCAGTTGTTTGGACATTTGCGAAAAGGTGGCTGGGCGGAAAACACTCGGCTGGGTAGGAATTTGTTGACAGCTTCTCGTTGTGGCCCCAAGGACACTGGAAGACGAGATGGTAAACCGCCAGGTGGCGCCAGATGGCCAAGCCCAGGAATTTGCGGAGCTTGCATGCAATCGGTGCACCGGCGTGCAATCCGCGGCGGTGTGCGCGTGCCTGCAGCATCTTGCATCGCGCTCCTTCCGAAGCGGCGGAGACATTGCCCGGGCTGTTTTGTGCGCAAGAAAGTCGATCTCCAACGCGCATCGGAGGATCCCTTGCCGCCTTGGCAAGCACAATGGACGACAGGACTCGAAGGTCGCACAGGTAGGGGCGCAGCCGGTGCTCAGATCAGAAGGGCTTGCTTTCCAGTTCGAGTTTCCTCAATTGATCAGCAGACGTATGTGTACCGGAGCTCGCTGCTGTTATATGGCCGCGGCTGTATAACCACTGTAGTACACTCAGTGCCAAAGGATATCGAGGCTTAATGGGTCTCTCATATTTATACACATCCCAGACAAAGTACGTTTCGATACCCTTTGGCACTGAGTGTACCATGGTTTAATACATGCGTCCGCAATGACCCACATGGGGACGATCTCCATGGAAACTTGTGCAGTGTTGGCGAAAGATGCACACCCTGTTGGGGGCGTACTGTCGCTGTTTATGTGCACAGGGGCAGCGATTTTCCGTACAGAGATGAAAAGTACGAAATGCTCGTGTGCAGGCACCGCTGGTCTTCGGAAGCGCGTGGCGGGCTCACAGCCAGTATCTGGCCTGCGTGATGCTCCTGGCAGAGTTGCACGAGCTGTCGGGATGTCCCCAGGATGCCCGTTTGGAAGCAACAGAAGCGCAGAAATACGTAGGAATGTGTTTGAATTCCTTTGAGTTCATTTACTGGAGTGTGCACTCTTGTGCAGCATGCGTTCAGCGGTTGCAGCTTTGTGGGCACTAAAAGCTGCCAGCGCTAGAAAATGGTAACTTTGCCTGGTTCCAGTACTTTGTGCATGTTGCTGTTGTTTGGAATTATGGACAACGGACACCTTGAAAGAACGGGTAAGTGCTGGCGCCACAAGCATGATTACGATTCGGTGGTACAAACTACGTCCTGCTCCAACACAGTTTACACTGATTCCAGATCTCAGAAATTGGGCGATGTTGCAGCACTGGCAGCTGATGTGAATTTGTCAACTTTGCTATGACGGCATTGTGCTCCAATCATAGCACACGCTGCACTCGCTGCCTGTCGCCAAGGAAGACTGGCAGGATAGTACGACGTGTGCGATAGGATGGAAGACAGTATTGTCGTACAAAACTTTCTCTGCTCGCACTTTTCACCGATGTGGTGCGGGTGTTTCCTGTGAATGATGTTTGAATGGTATCCGAAATTGACCAGGTTCCCGTAGATGCCACTGGGTGCACACAAAAAGCCTGTCATATTAATGAAAATCGGTCACTGATGAAAAAAGCAGACGGTTTGGGTTGGAGCTATGCATGGTGATACCCCTACCAACAGCACAGTTCCGGGAGGTCTATATAGTTGCATTGTTGGTGCAATAGGCCGAAACATTGGCTGCGAGGCTGCCACAAGTTAAGATGAAGGTTCTCCTAGGGAAGATAATGTGCAAAGAAGGTGCATTGAGTGAAGCCGAGAGCCTGCTGCAAAAAGCAAAGGCAACTATTCGAGGTGGTGAGTATGGACCCCTCCTGGACACTGTACTCGGCCAATGTCGTTGATCCACGATGACTCCATGGGTTGCTGCACAGAGGTCAAAATCCACGCAGGCTCTGGATCTGAAGGTAGGTGAGTTTGCGTTCGGTCTTTGGATGTGGGCGAGAAGCAGCCGGGACAGGGGATGTAATCAGAGAGAATGGATCTGGACTCCAGGCCCTGCACGACATCACTCGCTCGAAGTCGGTTTTGTGTCACTCTTCAGGCGTCGCACATACTGCAGAGGCAGCTCTGGCAGAAACGCTCGGACAGCTGTCTGTTGTGGAAGGAGACATCGCCAGGTACCGGCCTGCCATCTGGATCCTTGAAAGCATGGAGCTGCAGGAGGGGTTTGAGAGGGCTTTGATCCTGCCTGACGCTGTGATTCTGTCTGCAGATGTTCAGGAAGACTGAGCCAGGGTGCTGGACTGTACAACGATGGACTGGCGCTGGAGTCTAGAGTCCCAAGAGCTGAGGTTGGCCCCTTGGGAAGTCGATAGCTCATTTCAGGGGCGGGCCTGGGAAAATGCACTCTTCACGTTTTCTTGCTTCGCGCAGCATGGCAGTTTGATTTTGCGCATTGGAGAAGCCTGTTGAGCATCGCGTGAGTGCCTCCCTTGTATTTTCGCTTCAAGGCACAAATGCAAAGCCCCACCAATGCAGCGGCGACCTGCACCGCTGGAAAAGTGGCGTGCTCGCAAAACGATGCGCTGTGAATATATATGAGAGGATTTACGATGTGCAAGGAGCATTCAATATCTTATAGAAGCAAACCTGTACAATGGATTATATTGAGGAGAAATCACTCAATTGAGCTTATTTGTGCCTGATGCGCCAATAGATTCTGCGCATCTAATCTGATGGCGTGCTGGTTTGTGTCACAAGGGCCAATGGCAATCGAAGATTGAAGTGGCGGCGAGAGCTATTCTGGAGCTCCGAATTGTGGAGACCAAACTCCAGCTGCAGGACATCGCCGCCGCCACACATTCCCTTCAAAATTTCTTCAAGAGGCAAGGTTTTCTTTCAGCTGTAAATTCCGCATGAGGCAATCCAAAACTTCTGTATTCAATTGCAATCGACTGCTGTTTGAGGCACCTGCCCTGCTCTTTCTATTGTACTTGTTTTATGGTCTTCTATTTATTTTATTCTGCTTATCTCCATTTGCATAGCTTTTACGCAGGTATTGGCCATTTGCAACAACGGCGTCAACGTCCCTGCTTCCAGAGGCGAAGGCCCTCGCCTTGCTGCTTGCAGTTCAACTATCGAGTGGCAATTATGGAAACGCCCCTGGCGATGTGGGGTGCTCATTTCCCCTGTCCAGCAGTCGGGGCGAGAAGGAGCAAGCAAAGGGGCACCAGGATTTGAATGACGCCCAGGAATGGAGCACGGATGCTGATCAAGTAAATGAAGCGGTAAGAAGGAAGGTGTGGGAAGCGCATGGGACATTCTCCACAAATGTCCGATACCTTTCAATTCCAGATATGGATGTCATTAAGGTCATTTTCTGGTTTGGTCATTTGAAGTTCTAGGTTTGTTGGCCCTAGCACCCTTCATGGACTTCATATACTCATTGAGTAATACTCAATGAGTATAACTCATTGAGTATTACTCAATGGTAGGTATCATATAAACGTCCTATTTGCCGACGTGTTTCTATGGTGCGCATCTTGTCGCTGGAACCCAGTGGTTCATTGATACGCGATCATTCAAGAAAATTGGTTAACCAAATGTGCGCAACAGCTGCGGTCAGCACACCTTGGAAAGCTCTTGTGTCTCGGCAACCAGAAGGATGGGGGGTGAGAGAGTGCATGCACTTCCGCTGCCAGGCCAACTATACACATGTCGGGCTGCATCACCGATATCTCAATCGGCGCGCCTGCCTGAATGCCACCAACTTTAGTTGTTTGTGGGGTTTAGGATTGCAAGCATTGCGAAGGTGGTCTGAAGCACTGCGATTATTGTTTTCAACTGACTGACTGGCTCCACGGCCAACAGCCCTTTGGGCGTCTTCAAGCCATCAGTGCGCTTCTGATTGCCCTGCGGATGTCCGCAAACATGCCTCTGCTGGTGCGGAAAATTGCACCACAACTGAGCAGTCTCTTAAGATGGGAGGGCTGCATAAATGCGGCATTGTATTTTCACTTCTTGCCAATGGGAGCCACTCTGAGGCAGCGGTGGGAGATCTCCGTTCTGAAAGCTATGTGGGAGGAAGCGGGCGATATTCGGTTGGAGGCAAGTAAAATTCAATGCAACGCTTCTTGTTGGCAGGAGATGGAAGTTCTTGTGGCGTGGGTCATACTTTTGCAGGCAGGGAACCCGTTCCACGGAAAATTCAGTTTCTTCCTCATAAATGCAATTTGCAATGCCGTTTGATGGGTAACGATGCTTCACATTTTGTTTTTTTGTCACGTTACTCGTGCTGCCTGACGAATGGATACAGTGAGGTCAGGATGCAAAGGGACAACAAGGCTGCGGAAGTCAATTGGCTAATTCTTTGGGCGCGTTTCCTCTCACGCATTCATTTCCGATGGTAGCGCGTTCGAGGTCGACGTTGAATTCAATGTCAATCTGCCAGCAAGATAACACCGCAACGGCGTCCTCCGAAAAGGGACTTAGAGCTGCCCTCTCGCCTTCCAAGCTGTCACCATGCCTTTGAGTTGCGCCATTGATCAATGACCTAATCAACGGTCTATGCAATATTTAAGCATGATTGAATTTTTGTGGCTTGTGCGCTCTGGCGCAGGTATCAATAGATCCGCTTCTTCGAGCCCTCCAACATTTCCCGTTGCGCCTTGGCGACCCCTGCTCCCGAGAATCCCTGTTCCTGATGGAGGCCGACTGCAGGGAAAGCATGTCCAAGCTCCTTGCAGCGCTTCCTGAAAACACCGTTGCATGCGGCGTATCTCTGCACCAGGCCCCGCAGGGCGATTTCATGACCGTCTCCCGATGCAGCTTCGGTTCAGCTCCGGTGCTCGTTACATTCCCCTTGCCCCTCGATGGCGGCGAATGTGCGGAGAGAGGGGGCGGCAGGGCGCAGATGCTCCTCAAGGAAATTGAAAGCATCTTTGAAGGAATGGAGCGCTGTTTCTCTAACATGGAGGAAGAGGGCGCTGCATGTATGGGGAAATTCTGGCAGGTATGGCAAAGGTTATTTGGATCACAGATTCAAGGGTGCATGACCGAGACACTCGCATGCCGTGCGCCACTGTGCGTGCAATTGGGCTGCGGATTGTATGCTTCGCTGCCCTGTCTGCATTTGCATTATGGCAGGTAGATCTAACAACCCTGAAGGTTGAATCCAGATGTCAAACCATCTTCTTGACACGCAGTTACACTGTTGGATACGTCAATTGCAACAGAGATTCCGTAGCCTGATCAAGTACGGTCCTATCCGCCGACGGAATCAGTGTACCTGGCACTCCAGGCTGCTCTTTTGCACCTCTGAAAGATTTTCTTCTTTCCTCAGCTCAAGTTTATGGCAATTTAGCCCTCCCTTGTATCAAAGAGTACGGAAATCTTGTATATGTTGTGTCAGTCACTGAAGCTAATATCTGGATGTCTTAGACGTATAATGTATAGACGCAGATGTGTTTGATGTCTTAGATGTATCCTATACTATATCTATATCTAGATTAACATCCCTGTTCGAACAGCTTTTCCAGTCCAATAACACATTCCTAGCTGCCGTACTGGGGGGCAAGGTTCGTTGTCAAGTTGGCTCTGGAATTGGGACTCCCCAGTTTCTTGAAAGGACCTTCCCCAATTGCCCGCCGATCATGTGGAAAAGGGTAGACGTGGGTGCAGTATTTCAGCTGCGTTGCCATTGCTGCGATGCCTATCAACGCTTCAGGAAATATACATATGTTGACATTGAGAGGGTAGACGTGGGTGCAGTATTTCAGCTGCGTTGCCATTGCTGCGATGCCTATCAACGCTTCAGGAAATATACATATGTTGACACTGACGAGCATGGGCGCCCGCGATAGCGCTGCGTGAATGCTGATGCACTGGTCTTGCTTCACCATCACTTGGCATTGCATCAATGACATAATACACACGCCATTGCATGAACTGTTACTCAAATGGCAGATGACGTGCACGGCCGTGAAATGGGCGCTGTTAATGTGCAAGGGCTCTAGAGTTTCCATAAGAGCATTTTTGCTCCATGTGAACGAGTCGAATTAAACAGCAGAGGACGCAGGACCCAACATTGAAATTATTTGTTGGACGCGCTCGGCACCTCAATAAAACCACGGTACAGAGCTTGAGCCTATCAAAAGAATTAGGCACGCTCGAAATTAGAATTAGCTCAACTCCTATTTGGTGACCAAAAAATTATTTGCGATGTTGCCGCCACTTGTATCCGTAACCGATGAATCTCGATCACAGGTTCAGAGAAGGCTAGATAGGCGCATGGCCCACGTGCTGCATGAGTTGGACAGCACTTGGATTGGCCACTGGAGGCATCTGATGTTGGGGGCACCTTGTGACACTGGAACCCGCAAACGGCTTCAGCGGAGGGCAGCAGATCTGGTGGCAAACTTTCTGCGCGCGCCTGCAGGTGAGATCTGGTTGTGATGTGTACTACATACCGTGAGTCTGGCGGTGTGGCACAAGGCCCACATCTCTTCTGTTGGGATGGGGGTGGCACCTGGAGCCTGAAGTCCGTTATGTTCTTTAGTTCGAGGAGCCTGCAGTTCGAGGAGTCTGACAGTGTTGGGTTGCATCTGCCACAAAGTGGTGCAGAGTAGCACCAACAGGCTTTATCTGATATACATTGAACAGTGCCCTATTTTAAATAATCGACTCCAAGACATGCGGGGTGACACTGGAGGGCGCCGTGGCACCTCTGTCGATGACAGTAACAGAAAGGCAAGGGTAGATTCGGTGGCATGATTTTTGTGGAAATGGCAAGCGACATCACTTCCTGACGGCCCCGGGAGTGGATGAAGTTGCCTATTCCTTGAACATTTATTTTCCTTATGGGCGCCGCCCAGGCTCGCAGACCACAAGGTATTCACGATAATGAGTGTAAAGTCACGCGCAGGACCCAGGCTAGTGGCTTGGACTTGAGTGTTCCGCTTATTGGAGACATGCTCCCGATGTGCTTACCATGCAGGCCTCCAGGGGTTCGGCGCTCTTGTGGAGATCACCAAGACATTGGTGTCTGGGTTGAGTGTACTATCGGGTGCAGCAGTGCGTTTGATGGTAGAACAGCTGCAAAGCATTGCCGGTGTGGCAGCGGACAAGGAGCTCCTGCTGGAAAAGATTCAGCAGGCGAACCGCGCTGTGTTTGCGGAAGGAGCAGGTTACCAAAGGCTTGGATTGACAAGTGGCTCGCACACAGACTGGCTGGCATTTAAGCCAGCTTGAACGCTGGTGGCACTCCTTGTGTGTGCGCGTCAATCAATCAAACGCTTATGCCCTTTCCATTTCTGATAGTATTGCTCTTTGATGCTACTATTACTTGTTCCATTTGCCCGTAGCTTGATGAATTGTGCCCTTGCGCCTACAAGATGATGCCAGCCATTTATACGACAAGCAATTTTTCAGTGCCCCAATTGTTTTCAATTTTGCATCGCCTTGCCTCCCACCTCTGCCCGTTGAGCGAACCATTGTTGCAAGTATCGCAGTTCCCGCCGCCCATGAAATTGGCTGACTTTCTGGAAGACATATGTTGTACCCGTTTGGCAAAGAAGTACAACCAAGTACCACAAACAGCCAAGCTTTTACCGCTTCACCTCAAACGAATTGTTAGCAATGCTCAGCACTGTCTTTTCTACAGATGTGGGCAATGGGGCTCCAGCCGGAGCCGTTCTGCTGATCCTGGACGCCGGAATGCAGAATCTTCCATGGGAAAGCCTGCCCTCCCTCAGGCTGCAGAGAATCTATCGTATGCCCAGTCTGGCATGCGCTGCCGCTTTGGCTAAAAGGCAAAGGCGGGAGGGCGGCTTCCAGAAGCCAGGAAGACGCAGCATTGCAGAGAAGGGAGCTGGGCAAGGGAATTTCCAGGGACTGCGAGTTGCCAATTTGCGGAATACATTCTTCATATTGAACCCGGATGGAGACCTGACCACCAGGCAGTCGGAGTTCAAAGAATGGTTCGGCGCGCAAGCGGACTGGGAGTTCAAGGTAGATCGAGGATGCCTTGGAGATGCAGCATGCATATTGTGTTCTGTCCCATCCGCCACCCAAATGGCTGTCCATATCTCCGTACGATTTCACGTTGGGCTGAGAGAATGTGATGGACAGAAAGAGTGCGCGCCAATAAAATGGGCTGCTGCACAAGAATGTGGTGCATTTGTCATTTCAAAGCAGTCTCGTGTTACTGTTCCGTTATTTCCTCTCTTCGCGATTACAGTTTGGCACAAGTCCAGAGCGGGTGTCCTGCAGCCTCAACGCGTTTTGGGGAAAGGAGCACACAACCTGATATCTACCTCGATACAACGTCCCATCGAAAGAGCTGAGGCGACTCCAACTGCTGTTCATACATCCCTTTTAGAGTCTTTCTGAGCGAAAAATCCGTTAAGTGGCGGCGAGTCCGAGACAAAGAATTAGCCCTGTGTTGGGCGACGGCAGTTTGCGATACTCATTTTCGCCCGTTTTATCTCTCCCCTTCGCCAGGGTACCGCTGGCCGCGCCCCCACACCCTTGGAGGTAGAACGGGCGCTGCAGCACAATGACATGTTCTTCTATCTCGGCCACGGAAGCGGCTCAAAGCACCTGAAATCCAAACAGGTGGCCGGGCTGGAATGCAGGGCTGTTGGCATGGCCATGGGGTGCAGTAGCGGAAGGCTCAAGGACCAGGGCGCGTACGAGCCTGCTGGACACGTCTTGAACTACATTTTGGCAGGCGGGTGTTGACACAATCGCGGGCCGTTAGCGTGTTTGTGCTCCTTCCCATGCGTCAATTGAGAACAGCACTACGCAAGCTGGTGGTACTCATCCTTGAATTCGAAGCTTGACGTCTCATGGCTGCTTTGCAACAAGGTTGTTGACATGAGCGACTATGGGCCTTAGGTTACACGTTTTCCTGCCTTTTTATCGTCCATTGAGTACTTCTGTTGCTTTTGAGTTGGGGGTATATAGTACTTGCCGGCAGCTGCAATAGGGCGCGAAATTTTCCAGTGCAATGGGCGGACATGATGTACACTGTGCACCTAGTTCTTCCGCCAGTTCTTTATGGGGCATTCACATCATTGAAGAACCATTTACAACGAGTCTTTGGGTTCCGCTGCGGTCCAAGTCGCTGTCTTTACTGGCGCCTGTGAGCATTTCCAAAGCGGAAAATTATCTGCCAGCTGGCGTTTGCCCTGTGGCGCCATTCGAGATGGCAAGCAACAGGCGCAAGCACAGCCCCATGAAACAACTTCCGAAACCTGCATCTCGAGCAGGCCTCATCATTGCTGGCGAATGTCGCGGAAAGTTAGCGCTACGATATCGCGATGCATCACTGGTTCAAAAGTATCGCAGCGCCCAAGAGCTCTTAGCCAAGAACAGACCTCAAGAACAATTGGCGCTTTTTGACATGATCAATATCCATGCATTAGTGAAACTGAGACCCTTTCTTGTCCCAGGAAGCCCTGTCGTCGTGTCCAACCTGTGGGCCGTGTCTGAAGGCGACATTTGGAGGTTCAGCCAGAGCTGCCTCAAGGCAATGAAGGAGAGCATGGAGCCCCTGTGCGTCGCGGGCGCTGTGAGCGAAAGCCGCTCAGCGTGCCACCTGAGGCATTTGGTGGGGGCTGCGCCTGTGTGTTGGGGAATACCAACCGCTGTGGCAGGTTTCTCTGGGGACTGGCGAGCCGAAAGATGATGTTAATTGAAGCAAAGGGGAATCTGGATCGTATCAAAGCGCCTTTCTGCAACGTCAGTATTTCATTCAACGTATTTTCGACACTGCTTTTCTCCTTCGCAGCAGGGAGGCGATGAGAATGGCCTTCCTTTGATGTGTGCTGGTTATTGGTCAATTGATTTGCCACGAAATATTCCAGTGTGCATCATTCAGACGGCGACTGGCCCCGTTCTTCTTTGCTGATAAGGGGAGACACCATTTTGACATTTGCCCGCTTAGCACTCAACGGACGCTAAGCTCAGAAACCCTTTCACCCCTCTCAACTTCAATCCCTGTTTTCGATGTCCTGTAAACATTTAACATCGGCACGCTGCTAAGTTCGCAAGTACGTAAGGTTGTAGTCCTGGCGGCGTTTGGCTGGACTGCGCCAGTACGCCTCCGCCCAGCGTCCCCAACAGGAAAGTCAGCCCTGGTTCTTGCATCGCTCATTGCAGCGTGGCGCCGGCCAGCAACCTCCCCTGCCCACCGAGCAAAGCGAGATAGCTTCTGTTGCTATTTCCCGTTCAGATGTGACCCCATGAGACCTGTTCTAAACCGCCGACAGGTCGCCGCAACAATATACGTTGCACCATTCAGCGCGTCTAGTGCAATTCACAATGCCCTCTCAGATATCCTTGCGCCGCAACAATGGCCACATACATTTATGACAAGCAGGTTGCCTTAAATACCCGGTATTCGGAATCTGGCAATGCTCGGGGCCGTCAAGCACTTGGAGACGGGGTTTTCTTCACTGCGGGAAACGGGGGCATCAGAGCAGCGTCCGAGGGCCTCGGGCACGTCTGTGCAGCGCGCGGACGTGCCCAAGCGGCCATAGAAAATTGCCGATGCTCTCGGACGGTTCCGCCCGTTCCCCAGACACGGCCAGAGTGTCCGGGGCGCTTGGGCCCTTCCTGAGCCCCAAGCTTGGGCGATCTCTAATGAGGG